AGCTCACCATCACAGGAGCGAGCTCCAGGCAGCAAGGGCCAAGCCCAGGCCAGGTGGGGCTCACTCTCACTCCCTCTCTATGCCCGTTTGTCTCTGTTTCTGTCTCTGTCTCTCTGTCTCTGTCCCTCTTTGTCTCTGTCTTTGTCTCTGTCTCTGTCTCTCTGTCTCTACCCCTTATTGTCTCAGTCTCTGTCTGTCTTATTTTGCCTTGCCTCTATATCTAAGCCCCAAATCACATTTCTTGTTTTTGTTATAGGCCTCAAAAATGTACAGCTTACAAAATGTCTCAAAAATGTATCCAATTTGTAACTTATGAGATAATTAAAGCAAGAAATCCAAGCACTTCCTATTTAAAAAATCCAAATCTCCAAAGCAAGGGCTCTGGTCACAAACCAAGAAGTGTGTCGGGTGGAGAAGGTCCTGGGGCCAGGGGACTCCGCTGGGTGGAGGCTCCGGGCCACAACCCCAGAGAGGTTGAGGGGCTGGGTCTAATCTGTCCTTCTGCGGAGCAGGATTGCTGGATCACTGGGAGGAAAGGTGACCCCAGATTCCTTTCTTGTCCCCGAGGCCAGTGAACTCAGCCACCGGCTGTCTCAGACATCTGGCCTCAAGGGGCCAGGGAGGAAGGGGACAGCTTCAAGGGAAGCAAGCAAGGATTGGCTGGCAGGAGTCAGAAAGCGCTCCCACCAGGGAACTCCCCCGCAGGGTAAAGACCCCTCCAGAGCACACACTAGCTGACCGGCCAGCAATGCCTGTGGGGGCGGTTCCAGGTCACCCTCCCAGCCTCTCCTGTTGCTCCAGGGCTGTCACAGGCCCTCATTCTGCTTGGACTCTCCAGACTCAAGGGCTCCCTGCCCCCCACCTCCCGGGCCTCCCCCCTGCCTCCCGGGCCTCCCCTTGCTGGCACATGTGTTCAGACACACGGCAAACGCCCATGAGCTCTTCCTTTAGCATCTGGGCAGCTGACAGCACGGACTGTGCCTCAGTCAAAAGGGAACAGGGTTCCCTTAGAAGCCAGGCCAAGCCATGGCCACCGCCCTCATGACCTGTCTGCAACTCCCCAACGCCAAGGACCATCAGCATGTAAACTGGGAGAATCCTTGGTCATCGGGAACCTGCACCATCTGGGAGATGGATTCCCGGTCACCAGGAGACGCTCTGCCTTGTACCCCACTGCTGGGAGGGGAGGTCCTTCCCCAGGGAGGTGCTGTGGGACCTCTGGGGGACCCCCATACTCCACCCTCAGAACTTGCAAACACCACCTGCTGTCCCTAGGTCTCAGGGACATCGGGGGCTGTGCACTGAGCTCAGGTGGGGCGTGAAGTCTCCGTGCCCTCACACCATGGTCGCCTTGGAACTGTGTCTCCCAGAGGCTGTCTCCATGACAGACACCCTCCCAGTGCGGGGCCTCACATAGGGGAGGGGGATGCTCTGGGGCTTTTCTCTGCCTTGGGAGAACAGGGAAGCCCCAGTGCCAAGAACACAGGCACAGACAAAGCAGAGGGGCACAAGCCAGAGCTTGCTTCCCAAACACAGCAGCTCCAACGGGTCAGTGAATGTCCCACCACAGCCATGGACGTGATCCTCATCCAAAGCAATGGGTCCCGGCCCGGGTTTTCCAGGCAGCCCCTGAATCCCCCCACCAGCCCCGCCCAATTTATTTATTTATTTTTTTGGGTTAAGAGATTTTGAGTCCTTAAGTAATCAAAGATGTCAAGAACAGGGCCGGGAATTCCTGACCTTCCCCCTCATGCCCTCCAGACTAATTTTCTTTGCATTTCTAAAATCACAGCAGGATGACACCAACCACTAAACCAAAGGTAAAATTGGTCTCTCTAAGGTCAACATCCTGGCCTCCCCTGGGTGACTCTCACCGTGATTTAAAAGCCGGAGACCTCTGTCCCCAGCCCTCAGAGGGCTCAGGTTGTGCTGGGGCCCGGGGTCGGGGAAGCTCTGTGTTTGACTGGGCTCCAGCACGGGGTGGCTGCCGGGACAGCCCATAGCTCATCCAACAGGGTGCCCGCCCCACCTCCGGGAATTCAGGGAGGTATCTAGTCCTATTTCTGGAGTCCGTAGGACTACACCAAGCACCCATTGGAGCCTGGAACATTCCCTGAGTGCCTGTCCACACACACCCCATATGCAGGCAGGTCAGGAGGGGAGGGTGCTGGTATCTCAGTCACTGGGCTGGCAGACAAAGGCTGGCAGCTGTCCAGGGCAGAATCGGCCCCAGAAGGGCCTCAGTCACCCTGCTCAGAGGGCTGCAGGTGGCTGGACGCAGGCACTCCAGGTGCTTTTGTGCAGAGCTCGGAAAGAGGAGGGCACCGGCTGCAGTAGCACCACAGCCTGGGTGGCGGCCCAGAGAGGTCGGGATCCCCGGCCTTTACCAGGCTTTACCAGGAGGCAGGGGATCCCTGGCCTTTACCAGGCATTACCAGGGGGCGGGGGATCCACGGCCTTTACCAGGCTTTGCCAGGCGTGGGGCATCCCCAACCTTTACCAGGCGTTACCGGGAAGCGGGGTGGTCCTGGGAGGTGGAGACGCTAATGTGAAGCCTGCGGGTCAGGACCCAAGGCCCCAGCCCCATCCCGGGCACCGAGGCTCCCTGCTGGCAGCCCCCATAGCTCGGCGCCCCGGGCTGCACTAGGAAGCCAGGCCTCGCTCTGAAGTGACAGGGACTTGAATCCCACAAGTAAGGAACAACTTCAGGATGAGGTGACGCAGATAGAGTGTAACACCCACCGCCAGCACCCCTCCTCAAATAAACCAGGTGGCTGCGTGAACACTCGCCTCCTTCCGTTTGCTGCCTGTGGGAGGCACGGACAGGCGTGAATGGCGGCTGCGGACAAGTGTGTTAACTGGGCCAGAGCCTCCCCTGCACACTGGGACAAGTCCTCCAGTATCAACCCTGACAGCAAGACTGACCTCTGCTGCTCCTGGGTGCAAGCCCAGCACTGGGTGCTGTTCCCCACCTCACTGCCCCCCCCCCACGAAACCCCTGGCAATGCTGTGTACGGTTCCTAGTGCTGTGGGAGGCTGGAACCCCCACCTCGCCCCCCATGACTCTTCCCCCACTTCACCTCCATGACACTACCCCCACCTCGCCCCCCACGACACTCCCCCCACCTTGCCCCCCATGACACTTCCCCCACCTTACCTCCCATGACACTTCCCCTACCTTACCTCCATGACACTACCCCCACCTCGCCCCCTACGACGCTCCCCCCACCTCGCCCCCCACGATGCTCCCTCCACCTGACCCCCCCAAGATACCATGTACAGTTCCCAGTGCTGCTGGGGGCTGGAATCGGGAGGGGGCTGGCTGAGAAATACAGCAGCAAAGGGCAAAGGGAGGCACCCTCTGGCTCTCCCTGTACCCCTGCCTTCCTGGAGAGTCTGACACAGGAAGCCCCAAACCCCACCTGCCCTCAGGAGCTCAAGGTGCCCACTCAGGGTCACCTGGGGGACTCAGGACTTGGTCTAAACACATGAGGTCACAGCACTAAGGCTGGCCCTGCTGGACCCCATCTTATTCCCTCTGCCCCCAGGGTCCTCCTTCCCCACTGCCCAGTGGTCACACAGCCCCCAGGGCACCCCTGAGACGAAGTTAGGATCCTCCTCTTGATGGGGATTAGAGAAGGAGGAGATGGAGACCGGGCATTCTCGCTTCTACTCTGGGGCACAGACGGGGCTGGGGCCACCTGGACTGAGGGAAGCTGGCTCCTGCCCACACTCACGATGGCACGAAGAGAAACTCGGGCTGAAACCCCAGGGCACTACGTGGGTGGTTGCAGGAAGACTGCTTCGTCCAGAAGCACCCTAAAATCTCACGTTCCCTTCACAGCCCCCAACAAGGCGCTGCAGATCCTGAAGGATGGAGCATGGGTCCCGGTGTCCCAGGCAGGGTCCCCGGCTCACTCACTCCCCCAGACAGAGGCCGGCTTGCTCTGCGGGGAGCCTGGGAGAGGTCAGCTCAGCCCTGTCCTCCATGGACACCAAGAGTGGGAGACACTCAGCCACCACCCATCAGCACTGAACTCCATCTCCATCTGCCCCGTGTAGCCTTCTTCAGCTTGGCTAGGGACAGGGGTCCAGGCCTTCCCTGTGCCAGCAACCTCAGGCCCCCACTCCTTTGTAGGACTGGATCTGAGTGCTGCCACTCGCTTCCTGGGGCAGCAAAAAGTGCACACGAAGCACCTCGGGTTCCCATGGCTCTTCCATGTGACGCGCTCCGGCAGCAGGGTCTGTGGAGCCCAGCGGGCTGGCGCAGCCCCACCTCCGCCTGCCATCTGCATGCATTCGAACTCCAGGTAAGAACTCACATAGATCCAGGGGCCTGCTACTGGATGGATGCTCCCAGAAGCCCATGGAGCCAACCGCCCCGCAGAACAGCACAATCGCAGGCGCAGACCTCTGCCTGGGGTTTCAGCCCTGGCTTCCTCCAGAAAGAATGAGTGAGTGGAAGTGTCTCCTGGGGAAGTGGGGTGTAACTGTATGTAACTGTTAGTGTGCACGTGTGGTATGTGTGTGAGTGGTGCGTAACTGTGTGCATTGTGCATGTGTGGTGTGTGCATGTGTACATGTGTACATGTGTGAGTGGTGTGTAACTGTCGTGTGGTGTGTGCATGTGTACATGTGTGAGTAGTGTGTAGTCATGTGTGTGGTGTGTGCATGTATACATGTGAGTGGTAACTGTGCATGTGTGTGGTGTGTACATGTGTACATGTGTGAGTGGTGTGACTGTGGGCATGTGTGTGGTGTATGTGCATATGTGTGAGTGGTGTATAACTTATGTGTGTGGCATGTGCATGTGTACATGTGTGAGTGGTGTGTGACTGTGGGCATATGTGTGGTATGCACATGTGTACATGTGTTAGTGGTGTGTGACTGTGTGCATGTGTGAGTGCTGTGTAACCCTTTGTGTACCTTGTGCATGTGTGTGGTTTGCCCGCCCCCTTGACCCTGGGCATCCCTGCAGGTGGGGCCTGAGCAATGCTTACTTCTGACCACACAGAGGCCGAAGAACTGGGTGTCTCTGATGCTCAGCACGTTGCACACTTGCTGGAAAAGCTCCAGGCCAGTGGCCTTCACCTGCAAAAGAGGTGAGGAGGGGCTCAGGGAGGGGCCGGCACCTGCCCCTAGGAGGCCACCTGGGCAAGCAAGGCCCAGCAGAGCACCAGGGGGACGACCCAGTCAGGCACCTCCTGCAGGGAACAGGTCTGGGTTCCTCACTCGCTCCCAAAGCTGAAGACTAAACATGAGCCGCATGCCCATCAGAGCGCATGTGAGTGCGGGGGCATGAGGGTGGTGGGGCAGGTGCCCTGGACAGTGGGTCAGGGCTGCCCCTTCCATCCCTGTCTGTCCCTGGTGTGAGGATTTCCCGAGACCAGTCAGGGACACATGACGCAGCGTCACCCCCAGGGCGTCCCTTTGGGCTCTGTCCTCGTACGGCACAGACAAACGTGTGCGAGCGTCAGCGTCTCATCATCCATCGTCCACTAGACGTGAGCGACCCTGGCAGCACGACTGCAGTCGAGCTCTGACTGACAGCAGCCTCCAAACACCTAGCCTGGGGCGTGCCCACATTTCCTGTGTCCCACATGTGCTACCACCTCACACCTGTTCGGGCCCCAACATGGCTGGGACAGGCGGCGTCGCCCGTGCGGAGCTCTCCCTGAGTCCCGGCTGTCACCGCAGCGCTGGGGCCCATCCCGGTCTCCCTGAGTCCCGGCTGTCACAGCAGCACTGGGGCCCATCCTGGGATCACCAGGCAGGAGAGGTGGCGCTCTTGGGAGGAATTGCAGCCCTCACGCCGGTGAGGGGGCGCAGGCTGGCAGCCATGCGCTCTGCTCTCAGACTCTCCCAAGGACCCTCACTTGGGGCTCCAGGAGAAAGCATCACAGCAGAGCCCAGCTGGCCGCCGGATCTGCAGAAGGCCATGTTGTGATTCTTCATTTGCATGGTTTCTAGTCAAACGACGTAGCCAGCTTACTAATCCCGCGTTCTGTAAGACTGGCTTCATTATTGATGTGGCTCGGCTATATCCCCACCCAAATCTCATCCTGAATTGTAGTTCCCGTAATCTCTCTGTGTTTTGGGAGGGACCCGGGGGTAGGTAATTGAATCATGGGGGTGTTTCCCCCATCCAGTTCTCATGATAGTGAGTTCTCATGAGATCCGACGGTTTTATAAGGCCCTTCCACCTTCGCTGGGCACTCATTCTCTCTCCTGCCGCCCTGTGAAGAGGTGCCTTCTGCCATGACTGTAAGTTTCCTGAGGCCTCCCCAGGCATGCTGAACTGTGAGTCAATTAAATTTCTTTCCTTTCTAAGTTACCCCGCCTTGGGTATGTCTGTATTAGCAGTGTGAGAACAGACTAATATGGTTACTGTCTGCTTAATGTGGTGAGGGGGCAGACAGGCAGCCCCACAATGGCAGTAACACAGATCTGCAGGAAGGGTCTTCCCAGCCCATTCCTTTCTAATAGGCTTGATACATGTTTGGTTGAACAGGGGGTCCCTAACTACAGACACAGTTGTGCACACACCCCAATAGGGGGCCCTGTCTAAATGCAGACACAGATGTGTGAAACCCTAATGGGGGTTCCCGTCTAACTGCAGAAATAGATGCTCGCACACCAATAGGGGGGTTCCTGTCCTACTGCAGACGCGGATGTGCGCACACCCCATAAGAAGCAGGCTCTGTGGCTGCCAACTTGGAGGGCACAGGAGGGGGCTGCAGGAGCCACAGATGCACTTCAGGGGGCTCCATCAGAAGCAGATGGGCATGATTCAGCCAGAGGGCTCACTGTTCCGGCTGCATGATCCCTCAGTTAAAATCTGACCGTGAAGTTCAGTGCAAGAAACATACAAGTCCCAGCACTTACAGGGCAGGGGGCCAGTGCCCCAGCATCTTCCCACAATGAGTCCTCTTATGACCCCTCCACCAAGCCTGAGGCACAGCTGAGGGCCCCAGGAAACTACGGGACACCGCCTCATCGGCTCAACACCAGCTTCTCATTGCCGGGTGGGAACATGAGGCTTGGGGGAGACTTTGCCGCAAGCATAGATGTGGGTGTTTACTTAAACACAGAACGGTATACCCAAGCAGACGAGAGATTCCCAGGGGACTTGAACCAAGATATTACTAGCAAGTCATACTTCATTCCAGGTAGCGTTCAACCACGTCCAAAAGGGAAACTGGTAAATTAGCCATGCAGAAAGTCGTCATTCTTCAGCACACCACTCATTTTAATTGCCACATTTTCATTATCCACATTAATCCTTAAAATGAAAGTACTATCTCAGCTGCTGTCCCGGTAAACTCAACTAAAACAGACAGACAGAATGGGTGGAAAAGGAAAGAGACGCAGGGAGACAGCGACGTCTTAACGCGAGACAGGAGATCCCCCATGGAAACTGGCTGCCTGGCCCTCTTCCCTCAGCACGCCCAGGAAGGATGTGCTGAAGCCATCACCTTAGTTCTCACAGTGACATCTATCAGGGATTTTCCCTTCACAGGCCCAGTGAAAGGGCTGACCCTCCCTGACACCTCATAGGCACCTGGTGTAAGCAGAGTGAGGCAGTCCAGGGACTTCCCAGCACACAGGCTGTATCCTGAGGCTCTGCTTACCCCTGTGCCCCTGCTCACCCCCACGGCCACCCAGGGCCCTGCTCACGCCCACGGCCACCCAGGGCCCTGCTCATGCCCACGGCCAGCCGCAGCTGCTCCCGGCTGGGCAGCAGCACGAGGACATCCCTGTGCTCCGAGGCCATCATGAGATCTCCAGGGTCGGCTCCTGCGGCTGCACGCGGGCCTCTCAGGACTGGGCTCTGTCCGTTGCACCCCTGCAGGAAAGAACGCTTCAGGTTTGTCTGGGTGGTCCTATGGCCCCTCCCTCTTGGGGGCACTGCCATGCTGTCATTACTGGGCCCTCCCCAGCCACGGGTCGCAGGTGGGAGCTCAGCACCTCCCAGATCACAGCTGTGTCTTCTGGAACCCGCCCTTACCGAGCTTCTTGCAGGGAAGGGAACTGAGAGGGAGGCCTGGGCTAGGAATCCAGCATGGCCGAGCCAGGACAAGGGTCAGGGCTGCTAACAGCTGGGTGTGTGGCAGGCGCCTGGAATGCAGATAAACAACCTCAGCCTGGGCACTAGCCACACTGCACCAGTGCAGGGCGGCTCAGCACCCAGCCCCACGGGGGGGACCCAGTGAGACCCAGGCGGGGAGAGACATGACCCAACTCCCCCACCTGACATCCCCTGGCTCCTCGGAGGGCCATGCAAACCCCACAGGCACGGATGCCAGAGCCAGGGCTGCCAGGGTGATGGAGCAGTGCCGGGGAGGAGAAGGAGAGGAGGCAGGCAGCCTAGGTGGGCACCACGCCCCACACACCTCCTGTGGCATCTGCCACCGAGCTCAGGAAGCAGCGCAGCTCCAGTTCTTGGTCATGTTCTCCCGGGAGGGACCCTGGCTCCCCTCAGGGGCTGGAAACTAAGGACAGTTCCTTCCTTGCCTAGGGCCAGCAAACCCCTCCCTGCCTGCAGTGGCCAGAAGGCCAGGAAGGGGGTTCTGGCTCGGGTAGACAGCAGCCGGGGGCATCAGCATGAGCGGTGGGGCATCACCTGTAGTGCCTGGCACCCTGGCTGCTGCTCACTGGGGATGAGCAACACCTTCGAGTTCCTGGGCGGAGCGTTAGGGTGGGGAAGGGAGGAGCCACCTGGCCCCGGGGGCACCCAGCTGCATCAGTTTCCTGCCATGGAGTCTGGGACGCTCTGAGACCTTCCTCTAGTGGGGGCCCTGGAGTTCAGGATGGGCAGTTGTTCAATCTCAGGAAATTCGCACTCCAGCTGCCCAAAGGCCTGGCCTAGAGGCTTTAGAAGATTTAGGAGGCTCAGGCCTCACCTTCCGCACCCCTGAACTGATACTGGTGACCCTCCCTCCCTCGGTTCAGATCCGGGCCCTTCCCGGGCCCTCAAGCCTACACGTGCGTGCCCAAGACAGCAGCGGCAGTCTCTTTCCTCTCCACAGGAAACACAGAGCTGCTTGCCATGGAAGACGTGGGGATCCTTTTAGCTGACAGCAGAGGAGTTTTATAAAAAGCAAAAAGCAGCCCAGAGAGCAGAGGCTGGATTCTCCTGGCCCTGGGGCACTGGCGCCTGAGCAGCTGGTCCCTGCACGGGGTGCCCTCAGCCGCCGCCTTCAGTCACAGTGCCAGCCTGTCAGGAAGGATGGCGGCAGCTGCACTTCTCAGGGATGCCTGGGTGCAGCACGGTGGCACGGGGCTGGGGTTGGGGGGCAGAACACCATGGCCACGCACAGCATAGAGGGGACAACAGCCATCAGGACCCCTCGGTAGGGAGAGCCGGGGACACAGCAGGAGCTGTCCAAAGACCAGTGCTGTGCTGGGAGCGCTCATGATCAAAGTGATGGTGGCCATGCATTGCAGGTGCTGGTGTGTGAGGGCACTGGGGTGCTCCAGGTGACCTAGGGCCAATGAGCTCCAAACATCGCTAGTGAGAAGAAAAGGAAAAGGAATGGAGACTTCCACCTTCATATGGATAAACACAGTCAACGGCTTCTCGTCAAAGCAGGACGTGGCCCCAGCTCCTTCCTTCCCACCCAGGGTCTCAGGGCCACAGGACTGAGGCTCAGCTTCCAGTGAAGGCCACCGCCCATCCAAGGGCCAGGGAGAGCCGGGCTTGGGAAGCCCCCATCGCATTCCTGGGAGAGCCCGGCTTCTTCCTGAAAACGTGCTGAGGCTCCAAGGCAAGGGTGGTCACCGTGAGTACCTCCCACCGGGCCACTGAGGGGACACCTTGGGGACCTCTGTCCTCAACTCATCAAGAAGACAACTTTGCCCTCTGAGGAAACAGAAGCGTGGTCAGGCCCCAGCACAGGCCCCCACCTTGGAACGTCTTGTCTTCTCAACTGGCCTGTTCATGACGGAAGAGTCTGGCCTGCTACATTCGTGGACAGACAGAGGCCACGAGGAAGACGAGGCTGCCACCCTGGTCCCTTCATGGCTGAGCCCCGGAGACCTCCTCAGCCCAATTCTCCCTTCTTCCAGACAGCTGGTTTCCATCCTCTATCACGAGATGGGCCTGCTGAGAACATTCTAGAACTCCAGCTTTGGAGACCTAAGTCCACTAAGCACAGCTTTCAGAAAACAACGCGGGAAAGGCCTTGGGCGATGGAAAGGAAGGCAGAACTGACACAGGCATGGAGCTAAAAACTCCTGCTGTGAGGGGGAAGCTGGACGCCAGAGGCCTGTCTCCACTCGGAGGCGTGCAGACAGCCAGCGGCAGGGTCTGCGGAGGGGCGAGGCCTCTCCCGGGGGCAGCTGGATGGCAGCGAAGGCTGTGTGGTTCCTAAATGTTCCCAAGTTTATTCAACGGTTGGCTTAAGAGGAATATATTTTACAGTATGAAAACTACACCTCAGTAAAGCTATTAAAACATACCATGAGTTATAAAATGGTAACACAAAAAGCCTTCCAGATACGGCAGCAAGTGCTCCCACTCCACCAGTGTGGGTGTGAATGCGAGACGCGTGGGCGTGTGCGAGGGGAGCATGCGTACGTGTGAGTGGCACGTGCGGCCTTCATGTCGGGGAATGCTGGGGCCGCCCGCCCCTCCTCCACACCCTGCCCTGCACCATCAGGAACACAGACTGATCCTTTCCTGCATGCCACAGAGCCAGGCGAGCCCCTTTACCCACTCAGCTGCAAAGGCTGCCACACCCGCTCTGTGATGAGGAGTCTAGGCTCAGAGGCCAGGCTGCGCAGTGAGTGTCTGGTCAGGGTCTCGCTCCGCGCTCAGCCGCCGCCCCCACCATCCAGCCTACACTCTGCTCTCTCCCTTCAGCCACCTGACCCCGCCTGGCAGAAATCCAAAGAGAAGCCGGGCGCCTGCTGGAAGGAGCCCAGGGCTGCCCGTTGGGTCCCTGGGAGGTCGCTGCTGCCCGTCAACACCGTGAGGGCATCTTGCTCAGTAACGCACTTCCTTTCCACAAGCATTTTCCCTGGAAAGGAATGTCCGTCAGAGGCAGCACATTTTGCTCCTTTCATAAGTAGGGAAACGGAGGCACACAGCAGCTAAGTGGCTTGTTCATGTCCCCAAGCCCCAAGATTCCTGAGACCTGCCACAAAGCTCCTTCCCGAATCTACTGATCCCCTCTTTGGAAATCATCTTAGAAGAGAGAGCTAACTCTTACGCTCATTCTTAGGAATGAACCGTGTAAGTCTGTCTTCTGGGATGACTGAGGATGGTTTTGGGAGATGCACGACCTGACTTTTCCTGCTCCACCCAAGGAGATGGTGCCGGGCCCACATGGGGTGCACAGGGGGGTGCAGGGCCTGGGTTGGGGTACACAGGATGCTCCCCGCCCTGGCCCTTCCCTGTGCACTGCAGGGTCCAGGTAGGGTCGCTGGTGAGTGTCCCAGGCAGCCACGGGAGCTGAGGAACCCAAGCCTGGCCCAGGGCAGACACTCTGGGGAGCCTCCTCACCGTGGCGAGTTTACAGGTGGAGTCCAGGAGGTGCTTGCCAGCAAGGAAGGAAGAGGGCAGCTGGAGACGCTCTGCGGACAGTGAGGGGCCGCATTTGTTCCACCTGCTCAGACCTTGTAGAGACCACGACCACCCTCAGCCTAGTAAACAGGCTGCGAGGCGCGGGGCCCGAGCCCATCACCGTCTCCGTGGCTCTAGCTTCTTGGTCTTCCGAACTGACCTCTGGCTGTTCAGAAAGGTCAGTGACGCACGGCCTGGCGTCTCTGCTGCCTCGGCCAGGATGGGCGCTGGAAAGGCCATGACCTGCCTGCCTTATTTATCTGAACAGCAAAGAGGGCACCGCATTCCTGCAGGGGAGGCAGCGGAGCCGGCGGGAACCGCCTGACCGAGCTTCAGGAAGTGATTCAGAGAAAGGAGCGGCTGTGAACCAAGGGCCATGAAATCAGAACACGCTTCCATCTACCTGAATGAGGGTTAAGTAACAAATCAACCCAAACGGGAAGGAGACAGAAGGCCGCCTGTTAGAACACTCCACGGGAGGAGGGCCTGAAGAGCAGCCCTGCACTCCCCATCAGATGGGCACAGAGCGGACTCGAAAGGTCCCTCTGCCACTTGGGAGGCAGGGCGGCCTGTCCCAGGGAATGGGGTCGGCAGGGCTGGGGCCCCGGCCTTCAGGGATGGACAGCCTCGCTGGCAAACACGCACCGGTCTGGGGTGTGGACGGTGGGACGTCTGTCCTGTCCCAGGCTGGAGAAGACCGCAGAGGCAGGATGGCCAGAGGAGGCTTATCGATGGCTTCTTTCCTGCTCTTTTTGGTGAAATGGGAGATCTCTCCCTTTCCAGCCTTCAGTGTGAATCAATTTACTTGTTACAAAGTCTCATCTTATTTAAGGCTTCCTAAATGAGGGTCTCCAACAGCTGGCCCCTCTTCTGAAGCCTCATGGAGGACCTGGGGAGAGAGGGTACCCTGTGTCCTGCAGGTCCAAACCTAGGGAAGAAAGGCCTGCAGCTTCTAGCAACCCCCACGGCACCCAGGTGCAGCTGTGGGGTGTCTTCCTGGGAGAAGGTGAGAGACGGCAGGTGGGGTGAGGACACCCCGATTTCAGGTGTCTGCCTCTTCCCTTTGCAAACAGTCACCTCCGGGAGCTCACCAGCTTCTGGGGATTAGACAGAAGCCTGCAGCATCACGAGGGCATGATCGGGTTATGATGGACAGTGTATTTGTGTGTTGTGAGTTAAACACATTAACTGCTGAATTTAAAAAGCCGCAGAGATCCGACAATTACAAAATGCCCCTCCTGACATCCGTTAGAGGACAAATCCCACAAAAAAGGGGGCTGGACGGCAGGGATTGCGGGGTACGCCCTGCACCAAGAGGAAAACCCCACAGCTGCGAGTCCTGTGGGAGAGGTGCCTCAGGCTTGGTCCCCACACTGCCTCTTCCCGGGGGCCGTCCCTGTGCCATGCCCCGCTGCCTTGAACTCCCCTGCCCTTTGGAATTACCGCAGGGTGGACCATCGTAGGGAAAAGACCTCTTGCCCCTTCTGTGTTACCCTCCCAA